AATTAAAATATTACACAAAAAATAGAAATTTTAAATAATTAATTTCATACTAATATCGATATATATATATATTGTCAAATTTTTATGATATCTTCAAATTTATATTTTATTCAAAAATAAAATATCATCGTTTTTTTCAAAATCACGTAAGACCATACCTATAACATCGCTTGAGATAAAAAATAAAATGAAATATTAAAATCAAGATGTATCTCGCTGTATTACGCAAATACCCTTCTAGTATTTTTTAATTCATGGCTGCCATCGCAAATAATGTTTTCTAGCACAACTTTAAGCAACTCCCAAATCCCAATCCCAAACATCCTATTCGCATTTGGGCCCTTATCGGTCCACTGGATACTCATAAATCATATCATATATGGTCACTTTTGTACGTTATCCTTTCAAGTATTTTTATTATTATGTGAATTATATTTTTAATTTCTTTCATCGACTAAAATAAAACTTAAGTTCATCTCTTTACGCTTACGTAAACAATAACCTACGTGATAACAATTTTGAATAATCAAGTTATAGTCTTTATTACTTGAACAAGCTTATGAAATCTATGTCTTCATAAAAGTGTTTGTACGTGTATATATATAAAGTCTAGAGTTGCCTAAGGATAAGGTGTGGTACTAAGATAAGTACAAATCCCGTATAGTATCAATAATTCCATTTTCGACAACAAATCTAATAAAATCTAGAATCATATAATATTATTGATACATACTTGTTCCTAATGAAGTAGATAAATACCTACCTTAATGTACCATGTGACACGTAATCTTATAAATACATATTTCAACTTGATTGCATTTATAACAAATTGATCATTTGTTGTTTAAGAGAAATTTAAGAGGGTTTTTAGTTAGAAGTATTAAGCAACAATCTATGAATGAGTCCATTCTCCCAAAAACTCAAATTTTCACTACAAATTAAAATAGGAGAATGAAAATTCATTTTCAAGTCCGAGTCAAAGAACTCCTAAAATCATTTTTGCAATAGAATAGAGTCCTTGAGTTAAATGACCATTTTCCTCATTCAAATTGGCTTCCTAACCATTTCTTTCATGAATTGACCCAAATATCACTACTTACGCAATATTCATTGCGGACCTAGCTAAAAACCAAAATTTCAGCAAAAATATGCAACTACGACAGCCATATCCGCAATTACGATAGCCATGAGAAGGAAAGTTAGTTGGTCACATAGATTATTTTCTTGATTGGACCACTGGCATAATTCATGTGTAAGACTAAAATGGATGTGCGCACCAATGGATTTATTACTTTAATAATCATGTTGTCCTTCCAACATTGTTCCTAGGGCATTGAAATATAAAAGAAAATCCATATTTAATGTGGATAGCATGCCAAAACGTAGAGCAATTTGGCGGTGGGCACTGGGCAGTAAATGCAAAATTGGTGTGCTCAACCTGAATAATATGGCTCATTCATGGGTCACGCTGACGGATTTGGATATCAGAAGATTTAATCATGGTCGGCTGAATATCAATTAAGTACACAAGTCGGTTGATAAAGCCAAATTGATTATGATGTTATGTGCTCACAACCTTCTAGTCCATCCTCGGGGTTAGAGTCCTAATTGTTATTTGTGGACCCCGTTTGTTATCACTTAAATTGTAATTATAATGTTCTATTACTTATATAAATTATTATATTGTTAATTTATTCTATTACTGATAATTTATTAAGGTATAGAGCTCATATTAAACAAAACCATCATTGCAGGAAGAGAAGGGTATGCCTTGTGCACTTTAGGCTTTGATGGAAGATTTTCATGTGTTGTGAAACAACAATTGTGAAAATGCAGCATTTATACAACGTTGTTTCATATATGAAACGTTTAGGAATGTTTTTCTCCACAAACAAAACAGTTGAACGTTTCATATATGAAACAACACTGCATTTTCCCACGTATTGTTTCATATGTGAAACTACACATGAAAACTGATTTGTAAGTGTGTATGATTTATTGGGTTTGTAAATGATCATGCATCTATGTAAATAACTATGGGCATATTAGGAAATGTTTAGATAAGTATGGAGTATTTTAAAGAACTAACCTCCAACTTGGGTGGCCATTTTTTGGTCGTAAAGCATGGCACAGCATTCATAATTCTTGTACCTGAATCATAAAGGAATTATGAACACAAGATTGCAAATGTCCCAAACTAGTATTTGTTTTCATCAATAATTTACCTCTGTTTTTCTTCATTCATTTTGTGGGTACCATCTCAATTCACCAAGTAAATGGGACCAGTACCACGTCTTTTATTTCAACACCTAGATCAACATCTTCATGAAATAAGAAATCATTACCGTCTTCGCTACTGCAAGTTATTAATTTGACATGAATTAATAGAGCATGATAGAACTTCATCCATTCAAAAATAGTCTACTTTTGACTTTCTGTCAAATGAACTAAGCTAACGCATATATTAGGCCTTGTTCGACAACTATATGCTAGCTTATTTATTGAAAAAGCCCTTTTGGTTCGCCCTTTTAGAACAGCTACTTGAAGTAACGTTTCAAGGTCTTTTTTTCCAATTATGCCGCTAATAGTTTGGAGGATGCATCAAGGATATGGAAATAAATGAGTAGCAAATACGTAAGATATACCTGAAATTTACCTATTGGGGTAATACTCAAACTGAACCATCAATTGTGACACCAGGGTCTGCCTCTATATAAACCCCATGAGCCCTTTGCCCACAACTATAAGGATCCTCTCCAGCACACACCCTACACCTGATTCAATCATCTCCAGCCCTTTGCCCTCCAACTATAAGAATCCTCTCCAGCAACACACCCTACACCTGATTTTGTTACCCAATCATACCAAACAAAATCAGAGAGAGAGACATGAAGCTTCTTGTAACTATTTTCTATGCAATCATCTTTTTATCTTCTCTTTTCTCGTATTATCTATTCAAGAAAGAAAGGAGAAGGCATAAACAAACAGCTAGGCTTCCTCCCGGTTCAATGGGGTGGCCTTGCATTGGAGAGACTCTACAAATGTACTCACAAGACCCGAGTGTTTTTTTTGCCTCAAAGCAGAAAAGGTTGGTTAATATATCACAGCCATGAAAGAGGGTCCATTTATGTCCAACTACTCTTATGCACTAAATATAAAGCTGATAATGTTGTTTTTCCATCATGATCAGATATGGAGATATATTCAAAACTAGAATACTTGGATGCCCTTGCGTTATGCTTGCAAGCCCTGAGGCTGCTCGCTTTGTGCTGGTGACTCAACCTCACTTGTTCAAACCTACGTACCCAAAAAGTAAAGAGAAGTTGATCGGACCTTCAGCCCTGTTTTTTCACCACGGAAGTTACCATGCTCGCATGAGAAAGCTAGTTCAAAGCTCATTTTCTCCTGAAGCAACCCGCAAGCTGATTCCTGATATTGAAACAATAGCCATATCCAGCCTGGAATCATGGGCCAATGGTCAAGTTATTAGCACCTTCCTCGAGATGAAGAAGGTATGTATTGTCTTCCATATTATGTTCCAATAAGTCCTTTGCCTAAGTTTAGCTTTCGTTGATTGATATAAATATTTATGCATGTTCTACAGTACGCTTTTGAGGTAGGCATTTTGTCTATCTTTGGTCAGTTGAACAAGACATATACATATCAGTTGAAGGAGAACTATAGCATCCTAGAAAAAGGTTACAATTGTTTCCCAACAAAGTTGCCAGGAACTGCATATCATAAAGCTTCAATGGTAAATAAGCTTAAGTTTCTATAACTTTTCATGCTATTCCTAGCTAGGACTCTGCAATTAAACCTCTTTATTGATATGGACATGTGAAGGCAAGGAGAAGGCTTAATCAGATTCTTGAAGAGATTGTCCGAGAAAGGAAGGAGAATAAATTGGTAGCGGGCAATCTCTTAGGTCATCTCCTGAACTTCAGAGACCAAAAGGGAAACACGTTAAGTGACCAACAAATAGCAGATAACATCATTGGGGTACTGTTTGCAGCTCAAGATACAACAGCTAGTATCCTAACATGGATACTGAAATATCTTAACGATGATCCCAAACTTCTAGATGCTGTTAAGGTACGATTCTAATAAATTTACATTTTATATGACGTATGTAATTACTTATACAGGCCCACATATGTGACTGTTTTCAGTAGAATGAACTTAGTGAAAAAAAATTACATACTAAGATACCAATATTGCATGATGGCAGGCAGAGCAGAAGGCAATTTGCGAATCTGAATATGGAGGGAACCCGACCTTGACTTGGGCAAAGACAAGAAAAATGCCACTAACATATAGGGTATGTACTGATACAACTTGGCTGGTTTTTGGTTTGAGTGAAACTAGAAAGGGATTGTAACATTATTAATCTTTTTGGTATATCATAAACTACATTTTAATCACTGATATACACACATCAATTTCAGGTAATACTAGAGAGCCTGAGGAAAGCGAGTATTATATCTTTTACTTTTAGGGAAGCAGCAGTTGATGTTGAATACAAGGGTGAGTAAAAGTAGATTGGAGAAGGGAAATAAGATTTTTTCTGCTTAGAATCATTTGTTAAGTGCTTTTATTTGACTAATATGTGATGATGTAAATAAACCAACAGGATACCTTATTCCAAAAGGTTGGAAAGTGATGCCGTTGTTTAGGAACATTCACCACAATCCCGAATTCTTCACTGATCCCGGAAACTTTGATCCGTTCAGATTTGAGGTATGGATGCAACACCTGTCAAAGTTATAATGTTTGAGCCCCCATCGATCACAATTTTTACAGACACGCACATGAGTGAGCATAAACCATTTACACAGAAATGGAAAGAGAGTTTTATGGAGCTTTCTGTTCATCAATTCTTTGTCCTTTTTGCAGAATCCTCCAAAACCGAACACATACATGCCATTTGGCAATGGAATACATGCTTGTCCAGGAAATGAACTTGCGAAGCTTGAGATGTTTGTGCTACTACACCACATGCTTATGAAGTATAGGTATGATGGTAACATATAAGCATTCAATTAGTTATTTGAATCTGTTCTGACTTAAAAAACTCTTATAGATCCAAAGGTTGTAAATGGAATAACCTCCCGTAACCATAGACATCGCTTGCACTTCAGTTATGCGTTGATGGTTAAACTCTTGAGAATTTACCATAGTGTTTCTTGATAATGCAATTTATCAAAATAAAAATGTTCAACGCATACCACTCACACTGCAGCTGCGGCAGGCAGCATATTCAGTAACTCAAGATAAAACCTGTAAGTGTATATATTTGGCGAAAGAACAGAGTTTCTTGATACAGAAATAGTGGTCAAAATGATGCCTGAAACCGAGGAATTGATTTAATTCAACCATGCTGATTTTTTTGTTGGTGATTTTGGACGGCAGGTGGGAATTGGTGGGTTCAGCAAGCTTAATACAGTATAGTCCATTCCCAGTTCCAGAGCATGGCCTCCGAGTTAGGTTCAAGAAAGAATTTTGATGAGATTCTCCTAGCAAGAATGCCTCTTTAATTCAGTTAACAATTTAGTACATAATGCATGCCCTATGTTTTTGTCCAGGGTCTAGCTAGCTACCTAATCCTTTCTGTAATCATGTTAATATTTGTGTTCATGATGTCAAAAGTTCCATTGTAGTTTATTACCACTGTGCCTATATGTATGCAACAATAAAGAACTCCTATAAAGAGGACAATTATTTACTTCCTCTCTTAACCAAACACTCTTCATCTCTCCTTTTTTATCCTTTAGTTCTCTTATCACCTTTATGCTTGTTGATGGCCTAATACTTGGTTTGATGCAACTAGATATGTCCCTCACCACTAGGAAGTCTCATCTAACTACATGGAGATTTTACCTGATGACAGAAAAATGGTGCCATTTTTTTATTTTCACAAGTTAGACCATACTTACTGCCTGTTTAAATGAGATATGAACATGTCCCTTTCCATATATTCCTGGACAAGTATGTATGAAGATACCTATTGGCTATTGCCAAGGAACCTTTTTGATGAAGAACTGTTTGCTATGTTTTCAGACAGACCATATTATAAATCACCGTGGATCCAAATACAATGTGCATGTGCTTAGCAATGCTGAAACTATTATGCATATGTGAATTGTTCAGTGCCCCATTTGTGTTAGATAAGATTAGAGAGTTGGCCCCGTCACTAAGAATGGTGCACAGCATCAATGCTCTAACTTGGCCTTTCTGTCTGGATTCTTCTGAAAGGGTCGTGGCAATAAATGTTAGCATTTAGCTTTAAATATGACTTTACTATCAGCGGGTCCATGTAATCAACTCATAGATCCCACAAAGGTGAAGAATTCAGAGTTATGATGGCTTACCACTGAATCTCTGGTAAATGACTTCCATACAAATGACTACTGAAGACATCAACTAGTTCTAAATAGAAATGAGAGACCCTAGGGCAGGGAAACAAAAAATTTCTGGATAATTTCAGGCAAAAATTTAACAAGGGAAATTCTATAGCTACCACTGATGTTACCACCAAACTCACCCACCACAATCCACACGTTCAGGAAAAAATATGTGATTTGATGCACATTTTCTCCCAATTACAATCTCGTTCCTTAATAATGGAAATAGTGGTAGGTTCAATGGTATTAACCAATTTGAAAAGTTCTATCCAAGGGAACTACAAAGAAGAATAACTAACATTTGGTAGAAAATATGTGCAAGCTTGCCAACGGAATCACAATAATAAATATCAAGAGGCATGTTTCAGAATCATTTAACCCCATAGATGTACCAATTATTGAAATATGTCAGCATATTGAAAGGTCCATGGCAGGTGCATATAACATTATCAGTGATGGCCTACCTATCATGGGATTCATAGTAAAATACTTATAATGGCATTGTACAGTACTCTCCAAATCAACAACTCCATTGGAAGGATAGATATAGGTAAATTGATGTTGCAAAACATAGATGTTTCAAACTTTGAAATATGAAGCATTTACAAGTTGTTAAGCAAATCAATCAAATCAACCCAATGTTTTTTTGAATAAACCGACAAGCAACCTATGGTTGTGATTATCAAGTAATTGATATTGACCGTACGATGCCAGACAATGACTATACGATACTCTTTAACATCTACGCACATTACTTTAGATAGAAAAACACGGTACATACAGCTTTCACGTTACCTGTTCGTCTGAAGGAAGGGATTGAACAGTCAACTCATAAACGCTTTCCTCCCTGAAATGGAGGTTAGCCTCCTTGATCATAAAGGCCAAAAAATATATTACATTAATCAACCTCACTAGTCATTTCTCGACACTCTACAGCATTCAAGAACATTTCTAACCATGTGAATAGACCACATATTCAAGATAAATTTGTCTAATCAAGAAAAAGAAATAGCATACCGTACTTAACCTCAATTCCCAGGAAGGACCACAAAAAGAACATTCGTCATTCTTCATGAGAATCATAATTAAATGAGAAATTTCTAATAAGCAGGACTTGTCAAATTGAACAAGTACCGTCAAAAATAGATCACTAGATTTGGACTAATTTTTTAGCCTCCATATCCACAAGAAAGCCATGAGCAAGTTTCCTACTCTTCTACATTGACACAACACAAGCAATGAGAAAGCAACAGACCATATCAGCTAAATGCCTTCAAATGTAAGAATGACAGCACAGGCGAACCAGGACTTGTAGAGCATCTTTACATCTATCAGATCCATCTATAATAATTTACTGAATACATCCCATAAGAGAGATCACATATAATATTAGAAAGACAACCCTAGTTTTTCTCAAGTTTGATAGTTCTTTTGTGGAGTACTTTCCTATAGCTCTAGATCTTTCCCAACATCCAATATAGTATGATCAATTCTGAGGTAAGAGTAAGCCTATTTAATCTCAAAAGTTTGACAAGGAGGTATATAGATGAAACAGAATTGGAAGTCCCTTAAACCAAACCAAACTTACACAGTATATCCCGCTCAAAAGTAGGGTCTGAGGATAAGATGTAAACATACCTTACCTCCATCCCAAGGGGTAGAGAGGCTATTTTCATGAAGGCAGTGAAAAAAGATTTTAACAAGATAAAGAAGTGCTTGAAGCATTCTTGGTATCGTCGAAAAGTTTAGGAAAAGTAGAACAAGTACTTATACCGAGCAAATAGAGGAACATGTTAAAAAAACAAGTATCTGAAAGCATTGCAGATAATACGAGAAAGTAGGCATAGTAGAAATGAAGAATAGCATAAGTGGACAAGTAGTAAGCCAAGAGACCCGCTCCCTATTAAAGTGCATCTATGGCACTCCTGGCTGTGGCCAAAAGCCCCCCCCCCCCCAAAAAAAAAAGTTTAAGGAAATGCTCGAAGCATTCTTGATATCGTCGAAAAGTTTAAGAAAAGTAGAACAAGTACTTATAGCGAGCAAATAGAGGAACGTGTTAAAAACAAGTATCTGAAAGCATAGCAGATGATACGAGAAAGTAGGCATAGTAGAAATTAAGAATAGCATAAGCGGACAGGTAGTAAGCAAGAGACCCGCTCCCTATTAAAGCGCACATATGGCACTCCTGGCTGTGGCCAAACCCCCCCCCCCCCCCCCCCCACCTTCACTATCTATCCTAGCGCTCTGGAAACAAAATGTTGGCTCTTAAGCCTCCCCCATCCCACCCTCTGCTTCTCCCTGCACTCATCCATAGTAGCTTACAACTTCATACACATAATCCCAGAAGCAGACCTAGAAACTTTCTGCAAATAGTTACCGTAATATATAAATTATTTATAAAACAAAATTTAATTATACCTACAAAATAATGTACAAACCACTAAGAAATTAAGCAAACTAGGTTGGGTCAGCTAATTCTAATTCATTTATGGGTCGTGCTGGGCTTGGAGACCTTTTTCTAATTTAAAAAAATATTGTAAAATATGTTCCATCAAGACTTGAACCCATGACCTTCTCCTCCTCTAAGAGCAATCTTACCAATGCTCTACACCTTTGTTCTATTTCATTTGACCAAAACGGTTGCACATATCTAATCAAAATGGTGACACCTTTAAGAGTAGTAATTTTTGTCCTCCACATTGGGACAATGAAGTGGTAGCACATGCCACCATATGCCCTAAGCTAGGTTCACCCCTGCATCCGCTACCTTAGTCTTACACCTCAGAAAACTCCTCCCAAAGGTCATAATAGGCTATTAATAACTACTACCATGGTTTTAAGTTGGTTTTGTGGATACTAAATCAGCCTGTTGCTTTGTGCTCTGGCATTATACAAAAGGTATTACTTATCAAAGCAATGATCCCTCAAGGTGTAATGGGTTGGCTTCATGCATCTCTACGGGATTCTGATTTTGTATTGTTTAGGTTTTTATATAGGCCCGAGGAGGACAATAAGAATTCAAATGGAGGAGTTTATAACACAATCCCACATCAATTATAAATTCGAATCAGAAGTCTTTTCCAAGTCCTAAGTAATTGATGACTAATCACTACCACCATGATTTTTAAGTTGATTAGAAAGTCACTAGGACTGTTAAAAAAGTGATACAAAACAACTAATCATGAAAACCTTGAAACTGCTGGCCATGGACGTACACAATGACTCTCGCAGATGTCCATGAAACCTGTTTTGTGCCAATGTCCGTTTCAAATCCATGGAAGCAACAGAAATATCCATGCATGTTTGGCATGATCGTACTTTTAGCTTTCTTTTTGCATAGGATTTCTACTTGTTGCCTAGTATAGATGCACCCTTGGTTCTACTTTGTTAATCACGAAAATATAGAGAACCGCGTAGAGTGGATTAGCTTTAGTAGTTTTGAGAGGTTGAATCAGTATTTGTGATTTTTGTTTGTAATTCTCTTTCGGTTTGCATTTTCTCTTCAATGAATAAAAGATCCTCCATTTGTATGTGGACATGCACCACCTTCCAGTGGTGGAACCACGTCGTATATATGAGTTATTTGCTTTTTTTCTTTATTTATTTTTTACATATTTGATTTGTGGTCGGCTTTATCGTTAGAGAGGCAAAGATCACATCTTAGTTTTGGTTTCAGAAAGTTTTCATCTTTATTAACTGGGACTGTGTGATCCAATACCAACAAGGACAGCCTTACTTGGGACTCTACAGTTTTAAGTTCGACAATCAACCTGTAAGAAAATCACTACATGTTCTAATTACCAAAACCGCCAATGTAAAAGTTCTATCATGGTTTGTAACCTGCAGTAAACTACAAGCAACAAGTCTTATACTAAATATTTACCTCGTCTAGAGTAGTGAGATAGGTAAATCATCTACAGAACTTGCGCCACCAGTGAAAATCAATATGAATGAGCTAGCAAGTCCCGTCTTTCCAAAAGTGAGTCCACTCCTGAACTTTACTGCTCAAATTGCTTATTTTTTAAGTTTCTTGTCATATATCAGTAATTTTCAGCAAATAATGTAATTCAAATCGCTTTTCGAAGTAATAATTCGTAGCTAACCTACTAAAACACCAATGTAGATTTTGTACTTGGAATACTAGCTTTGAATTTACAAATTAAGAGTTCAATATAGTTAGCGAGCATTGTAGAATAGAATAAACATTCGATATAATTGATCAATAAGTCATTTCAGATGTCAGACCGGATCCTTTTGTAAGGAAATATGTAGCATATCAAGTAATCCATGTTAACCTATTGATCAATAGTTCAAATACTAAAAACATTCGACATTGAGCACCGCGTCATATAGCGATTACATCAAATTTCCAGGAGCAAAACCTGATTTCGAGTATCAAAAAACGAAAAACGCAATTGAAATGATATTATAATTTAGAACCGATTTTACCTCGCGGATCCCCTTTTAGGTCAGGCTTTTGCATCCTAATAGGATATCATTGATCCCTGTGATCATCTGGACAACATCACGTATCAAAACCATTAATCAGTTGTATGATATCAAGCAGGAGAGCGACGTATGAGAGAATTTATTGGCGCCAAGTTTCTGAAGCTACCGAAACATTACAACCGCCTCTAACCTAAAATCCCAGTCATTTGTATACAAACTTTTAAATTAAACAAATTTTTTTAATTAATTTCTAGTTTTAATTTGTTTCCATTTCATTAGTACTCATTATTGCAAGAGTTGGCTGTTGGTTTAATGTTTGGTAAGCATAAGTTATTTTATGATTTTTTATGTTAATTAATATATCTATAATACCTTATAAACCAGATTTATCAAAAATCTTAAAAACAATTTTTAATACACAAAATATTATATATTTATACATAAAGTTTTAAAAACAACTCATAATACATTAAGTATTACTACTTTATGCATTCAGTCTTAAAATCTCTTAATCTATAATTAAAATAACATATAATACAAGTTACCAATGCACATTATTATCATTTTTTTATGTTCCCAAAATACTGTTGACACATTTCACTCATGCCTTCACCCTCTTATACCTCTATGTCTTCTCCTCATCCCCCAATGTGAGATTCAAACTGATATTCACCATTAGTTATTAAAAGTTATTTCATTCATCTTTCGTTCATCTCTCTATAACTCATGGTCTCGCTCTCGATCTCTTGATTTTTTGCTCTTGGTGTAAATCAAACACATTTTAAATTGTCATACAATTTTTTTTCATCGATAGACTGTAATTGGAACCATAACTCTTATTTATTCAAATTGTATTAATATGTAAAGATCAAGTATAACTTATATCATCGTTAAATCTTCTCTAATAAAACCAGTGAAACTTCAAAATCATTAAAATTCACGGCTCTCATCGCATTGCGCGAGTACACAACTAGTTATATTATTAATGATTTGTTTTTTTCATATTATAAAATGTTACAATTTATTATTATTTTTTAAATGTCATTTTACAAATTTATTAGTTATTTTTTGTGGAAACATTCAACCCTTTATCAATTGGCTGGACAGACATAAACTTAAGATAGTATATTGGTCTTTTAAGTTAACACATTGAACTTAATTGGTCTCCAATAAAACCCTTTATCAATTGGTTTGCTAAATACAATATATTTTTCAGAGGTAATTTGGAAGTTTATATTATTTTTCTTTTTTAAATAAAAATAGATTTATTTTTCTTTTTTAAATAAAAATAGATTAATATTTATATTACAAGTACAAATAAAATATACTAAATTCAAACAAACCCTAGGGATGGCAAAAAGAACACGAAACCAATAATGAAAATTGAAAAACGAAATTTTGAGTTGGGTTTAAGGATTTCTTATCGGGGATAAGGCAAGGATCGAGAACATATTCGGGGATTCTACCGGAGACGGGGACAATGATCATCGGCCCTGCCCGATGTGTGTGTGTATGTGTGTGTGTATATATATATATATATATATATATATATATATTGGTACCAAGTTATTTGATTGGTAGTACTATATCAACTATCTAAACTTGATTAAACTCTTCAGTTAACTAAATAATGTAAATTTCTGACTCATAATTCATAAAGATACATTTGTAAAGGGCTCAAATCAAAGCCCACTTGAAGAGCAATCTTCTTTCTTACAAGTCAAATTGGGTAGTAATTTCACTAAACCAAACCATTCCCATTTAGTACTAAATCCATATATATATATATATATATATATATATATATATATATATATAGAAGAACGATCAAATAAAAATCGTTTATATTTATGTAAACTGTGTAAATCAATCTTACCCATTCATTTTTTTTATCAATGGTTAAGATTAATTAAGGTTATTTAAGGAAATTAAAAAAAAAATTGAAAATACATTTTATAATACCGATAAGGACAAAAGGGTAAAACCAAATATTATTAATGAAACTAATTTATTTTTTGTAAAGTAATTTATTATTTTTACGTTAACATTTATTATTATTAATGAAACTAGTTTATTTTCCATCTTGTAATTTTTTCATGACGAACCGCCTACATTATGCACCCGTTTCATTTACTAAATGGATCACCTACACCATCATTGAAACGGGTTTCACCATGAAAGCAGTTCACCACTCATTGTTCAATTACGTCATGAACCAGTTTCACCTTCATGAAACATGTTTCATGTAAATTAATTTTTTTATTTCACTAATGATTTGATGCATTATTTTCTTTAATCCTTACAATCATCAAGATTCTTGAGCAAATTACAATCTTCAAGATCCCGAAACAGATTCATCATGTACCCGTTTCATCATGCAATTATTTCATGACGAACCAAATAAATTATGCACCCGTTTCATGTTCCAATTTTTCTACTAAACGGATCAACTACATCATCACTGAAACGTGGTTCACCATGCAACGATTTCATATTACTCATTGATCAATTACAACATGAACTAGTTTCACCTTCATGAAACATGTTTCATTAACATTATTTTTTTAATTTGAACCATAATTTACGATTTCATTCTATAATGCAATACAATCTTCAAGACCCGTTTGCAGATTCAATCTCATAATAATATATCAAATTCAAAATTTTAATATTATAATATAATTAAATATTTAAATGTTACCATTTATACAATTTCTTTTATTACGTTTCCTTAATTAAGATTTATTAATAACTTCCATATTTAATAGAAAATGTTGTAAGTGACCGAAATACCCTTATTGATTAAATTTAATTAGGAAAAATGATTTTTTCTATTGGTCGAAATTAGTTTACACAGTTTCTAAGAATTAGACGGTTTTCGTTTGAGCCCGCCTCTCTCTCTCTCTCTCTCTCTCTCTCTCTATATATATATATATATATATATATATATGTATATATATATATATAATAATTAAAAGAAAATTACTAACGTTGAAATTTAAAAGGCTTTAATCCATTTACCTCAACACCCCAAATAAGTCAGTAACATAGTACTACCGTTGTAACACCACAAAAATCCGGAAAATAACAATAAATTTAAATTTTTTATTAACACGTAAAATAAAAGAGAATTCTTTTTTAAAAGTTAACACATGAATATTTATAATTAGTATACGATTATATATATTAATATATTAATTAAATAAAATGAAAAATAAAAATAAATAATATAAAGTAAGTTAAATCAGTAATTAAAAATAACAAGGTTTAACTAAGCTAAATCATTTATGAAGTAGATGGATAAGTGGGGGTACGAATGTATATATAAAGATCTGTTAGCAACTCCTTCCTAAGACATAGGGAAATGTCAAAACCTATATTTATGGGTTGTTTACTAAACGTTTATTTGGGTAACGTTTACCAAGTAATATTATCTCGTTGGATGAATATAGTAAGGACTAAGAATCTTATCCGGTAAGAACGAGACAATAATCAAAAGTCTTACCCGGTAAGCGAGAGCGACGACTCTTATCACGGTAAGCGTTTACCGGGTAAATTATTTTATACTATATATGTCGTTTTTGTGGGCTAAAATCTTACCCGGTAAGTACATAATTAGGGGTGTAAATGATACGAGACAACTCGCGAGGTACTCGAGATCGACTCGGTCAAAGCTCGACTCGAATAGGCTCGGTTCGAACTCGAGCTCGACTCGATATATTAACGAGTTGAGTCAAGCTACCCAATACTCGACTCGAAAAGCTCATGAGATACTCGATTATTTTATATATAAATAGTTTTAAAATATAATCAGTTTTTATGATAAATTTTGTAAGCTATAAATATTAAAAATGTATTATATTTTAGATATTTAAACAAAATTATGTATTTTTTAATTATTAAACTTAATCAATTAATTTTTATTAAAGTTACAATTAAAAAAAGACAAAAAAAAACTATAAAAAAAAATTAGTAAAATTATCCCACATTGGAAGAGATAGGTAAAGAAAATGAGAAAAAATGTTATAAAAAGTTAGGGAGGTGAATGAAATTTCTAACTTTGTCTTTTTTATGATGAAGTTTGAAGTTGATCCTTTAGTTTTATAAAAAGTAAGAGAACACTTTTAAATTTTTAAAATTTATAAGAGAAGAAACCTAAAATTTCATAATTTTCAATGGGTGAGCTTGCTTCGAGCTTGATTTGAGCTTTGTTTGAGCTTGATTTGAGCTTTGTTTGAGCTTGATTTGAGCTTGATTCGAGTTCGAGCTTGAGAAATTGTTATTGAGTTCGAATCGAGCTTTGATTTTTACTACTCGAGAGTTTTCGAGTCGAGTTCGAACTTGGAAATTGGATTTCGAGTTCGAGTCGAATATAGTGATACTCGAGCTCGACTCGCATTATTTACACCCCTATACATAATAGTGTCAATTTTTACAAGTAAACACTTATCGGATAAATGTGTAATAGAGAGCCCCTTACAAAAAGATTAAGATTATATTTTAGGAGAAACTTGCCTCACTGGCATTTTAATTATGCCACGTTTTAATTATGCGAGGCATGACGACACAATTAACTTAAGAATACCACGTGCGCTACCCCCAGCGAAAACGTATACTACTCCCCAGAAACCAAAAAAGGGCTAATCAAACCCGTGTGTGAACAGTGTCCTAGCTGGCAGCCACGTTGACATACAATTACAATTACGTATATATATGACCACTCTCATTTTTCATCAAACAATCACAAGCGCAAAAACCAGTCAACCAACCGTATATGGAGAGCTTCATCCACAAACTTAACGAAGAAGCAACCACCGCTATCCACCACCAACCGCCACCGTGGAGGCGGATCACCGACGTTGAAGAAACTTCAATCATGGTTGCAGCTCTCAAGAACGTCATTGGATGCACAGACTATACAACTGTTGACCAACGACAGAATTATGATTTCCGGTCGTTTTCTCCGATGGATTATCAGGCAGCCGGCAGCGGTGGTGAGATAGTGGATTCTTTACTTGCGGTCCCTCTTCCTCAGATATGTCCCGTTTGTGGGATCACCGGTTGTCTGGGGTGTAACTACTTTACCGACGATATGAAACTGAACGACGGTTGTGGTGGCGGTGGAGGAGCTGGTGGTCCGATTAAGAAAAAGAAGAAGAATTACAGAGGAGTGAGACAGCGACCGTGGGGGAAATGGGCGGCGGAGATTCGGGACCCACGTAAAGCAGCTCGGGTGTGGTTAGGTACGTTTGTGACGGCTGAGTCAGCGGCTCGGGCTTACGACAGAGCTGCCATAGAATTCAGAGGAGCTAGAGCCAAGCTCAATTTTCCGTTGGCTGATTACACCACAACACCGCCGTCAATGGCGGAAAGCCAGCAGCCAGCGCCATCATCAACAAGAACTAAACCGGAAAGAAGCAATGGCGGGAAGAAACCCAGTGTAGAAAAGGGAGTAATGGAAGCGACTGCGGAGAGATCGAGTGAAGAATGGATGAGGATGATGACGGATTTCAATGGCGACTTTCACGATTCAACTCAAATTGGAAATGGCGAATTTCCTGATTGGATTTGGGACGAACAGTGGGGTGTAGTTTAGTTGATGAGTAGGGGTATATTTGGAATTAAAGATAGTGATAAGTGATAACTCGTTAGATGTTAGTTATAAGTTAGAATTAATTGTATGACTTCTCCATTGAAGTTGAATTAAATGGAATTTGGTATGACTAGAAATAAAACTGAACCATTTCCTATTTGGTTTTACATATTTTAATTGAGAGGGTGTTTGAGATTGCTTATAAAAACAATTTATTGATTTATTTCGGTTTGACATCAGTATTAAACATTTTTGACTGTTTGGATAAACAACTTATACCGGTGCCAAACCAGTAATAAGAAATTTTTGAAGAATTAAATCTATCTAACTTATAATAATTTGATAAACATTTTTGTAAAAAATGCATAAGTTGTTTCAAATAAACAATCACAAACACCCCTTGAATTAAAATTGGTTCACATGGTTTAAAGTTTACTTTTTTCTATTTAAAAAATAAAGGTTGATGATTTACTTGCTAACATACAGTTATAGCATATAAAATAATTTTTTGCATCGAATTTACAACGTATAATACACAACTGTAAGAATCTCCAACAGATTTTTTAAAATGAATAAAATTGTTAATGTTCGTTCGTTAACTTAACCGAATAAACGAACGAACAGAAACGGTAAACAAACGAAAATATTTGTGTTTATGTTCGTTTAGAAATCAAGTGTGTTCGTGTTTGTTTATGTTCGTTCGTTAACATGTTAAACGAACGAATATAAACGAACGGGCTAAACGAACATAAATAAATATTATTTGAATTCAAAGTAAATAAACAAAAGATTAGATATCAAATTTAATATATAAACGAACATAAACGAATGAATATAAACGAACGTAAATGAACGGTAAATGAATATAAACCGAATGATCATTTTTTTCTATTTAAAAAATAAAGGTCGATGATTTACTTGATAAACATCTAGCGGTAAAATTCAACACTATTATTTATTTACCGGTTAAGATTTTAGTCAACAAAAAACGGCTTTTAATGCAACGAATTACCCGGTAAAAGCTGACTGTGGTAAGAGTCATTGCCCTCACTTACCGAGTAAGACTCTAGGTCTTTGTATCGCTTTTATCGAGTAAGATTCGTGGTCCTTTCCATGTTCATCCAATAAGGTAATGTAACTTGAAGCGCTTACCCAAGTAAGCATTTGGTAAACAATCCCTAGCATACACATAATACACAACTGTAAGAATCTCCAACAACTTTTTTAAAATGAATAAAATTGATATTTTAGGGATTTTAAACCACTTTTTCACCACAACAAAATCTTTAAAACTTTCATTAGAACATAGATTGAGAAAGTAAGAGAGATCGGATAATAATTTCCAAATTTTTGAGAACCGATTAAAGTTAAACGTTGAGAAGACAAGAGGGAATTCTTCTTTTATTGTTTTCCATCAATTATTATTATTTTATATATTAAAAAATGAGTACCTATTAAAATGATAAAATTATCAAGTATTTTAATAATACTAGAAGGGTACTCGTGCAATGAATCGAGACGCATCTTGATTTCAGTGTTTTTTTTTTTATTTTTATGTCAATATAATACAGTTTTATGTGGTTTTGAAAAAACGATAATATTTTTATTTTTGAATAAAAATATAAATTTGAAAATATTGTAAAATTTTGAAAAAAAATTATATCGATATCAGTATCAAGTTAATATTTTTAAAAGTTCTTGTGTTTCGGTGTAATTTACTTAATTCAATTTTTTTAATTATAATCTAATTTAGATTTACTAACAAAAAATTTTAATTTAGGTTTAATAATATAATTTTTATATAGATAATAACTAAGTATTCTGTTAGAAATAAATGATTATCCTAATTATATTTTAGATTTTTTATATTTAAAATAAGATGTTTATCCGCAGTTAGTTACACGAATTAAAAAATGGAGTCTTAATAGGTTGTACTTATGCATAATTTACTTATAATCTTGATTTTTAAGTAATATGCATCAATCTACAGTACTTCATACATAAAAAATGATTTTTAAAAGTTTTTGACAAATACTTTATAATATAGTATAGATAATGTTGAAATTTAAAAATAAGACACTATTAAAATTAAATGTAATTTTTTAAATTAACTTTAGATTTTTTTTTTTTAATTTTAAACAGTTAAAGATATTGTTTGAACGTCAAAGTTTAGGAGTAAATTCAATTGACAATAAAATTCAAATGATTTTCTTCTCAGATATTTTGTTCAAAATCACTTCAAAAATTTGGAATTTTCATGATTGTTTTCGGGTTCCATTAAAATTAGTCGTAATGTACGAAAATTAAATCGGTAGGTTCTTTTAAGAGAGATTTGACTTATCGTAGGCAGGGTCAACACTCTAAAGATGAACATAATTAATACATCTTCTAGAAACTTCACCTTTTTCTAACAAACTCGAACCTTCCAACAATGCTAACGACTACTTTCTATTATTCTTTATTATTGAAACAATTTTCTCCTCCAAAAAGCAAAAGGAAAAATCAATCGCGTGTCTCAACAGCGTCCCAGCTGGCAGCCACGTAAGCATACAAATCCTATATATAGTTTGACCCTTCTCCTTTTTCTTCAAACAATCACGAATAAAAAACCGATATATGGAGAGAGCCACCACTATTCTCCGACCACCGTCGCAACCACGGAGGCGGCTTACCAACCATGAAGAAGCTTCAATCATGGTTAAAGCTCTCAAGAACGTCATAATCGGATCCACAGGCTCTTCAAATGTTGACCAGCAACAGCGCTATGATTTCCGATCGTTTTATACGTCTGATTATGCCGCCGCCGGTAGTGAGCCGGTGGAATATTTACCGGAGGTTCTTCTTTCTCAGACATGTCCGTTTTGTAGGATTAGCGGTTGTCTGGGGTGTAATTACTTTATGGATGATATGGAACAGAACGACGGCGGGAGCGGTGGTCCGATTAAGAAAAAGAAGAAGAATTACAGAGGAGTGAGACAGCGACCGTGGGGGAAATGGGCGGCGGAGATTCGTGATCCACGTAAAGCAGCTCGTGTGTGGTTAGGTACGTTTGAGACAGCGGAGTCAGCGGCTCGGGCTTACGACAGAGCTGCCATAGAATTCAGGGGAACCACAGCCAAGCTCAATTTCCCGTTGGCCGATTACGCAACACCACCGTCGTGATTGCCGGAAACAAGTGTAGAAAAAGGTGGTTATGGAAGCGATTGAGGAGAAAGAAAGTGAAGATTGGATTTGGGAAGTTACGGAAATGGTTTCGTAGGAGTTACAGTCTAACCATGAACAGGATTTTTAGGAAAGCGAGGATTTTATGATAACCATTTAGGTTTTATTATTTCTAAGGCCGTAAACAAACTAAACGTTAAGTGAACTGTTCGGTAGAAAATTCGTTTATTTAATAAAGAAATGAACATGAACAAAAAAATTTATTCAAGAGTCTCGTTCGTTCATTTATGTTCGTGAACGCTCGTTTATTTTACGTTCGTTTATATATTAAATTTAATATATAATCTTTTATTTATTTACTTTGAATTCAAATAATATTTATTTATGTTCGTTTGTTTACGTTCGTTTAACATGTTAACGAACGAACATAAACGAACACGAACACACCCGATTTCTAAACGTACCAATACGAACACAAAGATTTTCGTTCGTTTACCGTTCGTGTTCGTTCGTTTGTTCGATTAAGTTAAACGAACAAACATGAACAAACTTTTGTTCGTGTTCGTACGGTTCATTTATAGGCTTAATTATTTCATTTTTAATCTTAAATTCATAATTTTCTTGTAATAAAAAAAATGAGAAGTCAAAATTTATATAAAAATATAAGCTCTAACAATTATTTTATTTTAGATGTTTAATTATTAGTTATATTGTGAAAATATACCCAATTTTAAAATATTCTTTTACATACATATTTGGATACCATTAGCACAAATTCAATGAGAAATAAAAATCCCCCGTGTAGCCACTGAGGTTCAAATGTGGTGACTCCGGGCTATCTGCAAAGCAGGTAGTCACCCTGAGATTAGTCAGCTCGCATAACGGATTGGATATCCAGGTTAATAAAAAAAATTACGTCCCCGTACCACCGACCACATTTCCTCGTACAAACTCTTCGATCATCTTCTTCGGCTAAGAAAGAAAGAACGTCGATGTTGATGGGTTTGAGTAACCGTCTGTCATAGCCATCCTACTTAGCCTCGCCATCACTCACAATTGCCCTAAATTACACTCGATTTAATTTACTACCATAAATCATCCCAAATTCGATTTACAAGGTTATTTATTCGACCAACCAAAAGTGAATGGTTTGGAATCTACCAAACACACACTTCCTTAAATCACCTTCGTAAATCCATGTTATTATGATACAAACGAATATGGGTTCTTCAACGACGTTGTTACAATAAAAACCAAAGAAAAGATGGTGGGGATGGTTGTGATTTCTTCATCTGATTTGATTTCTTCATCTAAATCACCAGACCAAGAACCCAAATCAAAACCACCATGAGGTCCAGGTTCAAATCTAAGGAGAAACAAAAATCATCTTGTGGCCACAGAGGTTCAAATGCGATGACTCCGAGCTATCTGCAAAACAGGTGGTCGTCCTGGGATTAGTTAGCTCGCATAGCGGGTTGGATATCCATGTTAATAAAAAAAAACCAAAACCCATGTAAACCTAACCATTAGATTTAAATGATAAATTCATCGTCAGCAAAAAAAACCCAAATCTCTAGATTTTTCATTGAATGCAACCAAATCACCACGAGAGTTGATTAAGACCCCGAAATCGAACGTAAACTCAACATCGATCATCTTCCCCAAATCAAACAATTCTAGTAGCATCAATGAACCCTAACCCAAGAAATGTTTCAACAAAAGAAGAGGGGAAACATAAAAGGGTGATACTTTTACCATAGAAAAATGTGTTCGCTTGTCATTTGCTTGTCATTTGTATTCGTTCGGTTAAGTTAAATGAACGAATACGAACAAACTTTCGTTCGGTTCGTTTACTGCCCTATTTGAAATCACAATATTCTCTTTTGTAGAGAATATGTTGGAGATGCTCCAATCACAATTCGTCTTTATTTTAACTTATGCTAGTTGTGTAAACGTGGGTTGCAACATGTAAGATTTTATTGTAAACGAAAATGAAAATTTAATGACATTTCTCAAGAAAAAAAGAAAATTCAAAATTTATGTTTTGAACAAAATATCAGTTACATGCGATGAGAGAGCAAGTTTTGTATGGATAAATTTGTTTATCTACATAAAATTGTCTGTCTCCATAAATTTATATTGTTGTTTACTTTTCTATCTAAATCAACACTCTGAATAACAGAATTGACCAACTTACCCCTGTGTATGAACTAAATTGAGTGAATAATCAAACAACAAGAAATCGATTTTGAAGAATCTGTGCATTATTTGAACAACAAAAAATCGATTGAAACAACAATTGAACAATCAAACAGCAACATTCAAACAACAATCGAACTATGAGGAGATATATACCAAAATCAAAACAGCAAGAAATTGAACTAGGAGAAGATATACAATCGACAATAATCTAGATCGGTGAAGGAAGTCGAACTAGGAGGAGAAATCGAACAACAAGCAATCGAACATGCAATCAAACAGGCATGAATCGAACATCAATCTATTTTGGTGAAGGAAACGGAACTAGGAGGAGATATACAATCGAATAACAATCTAGTTCGGTGAAGGAAGTCGAACTAGGAGGAAAAATCGAACAACAAGCAATCGAACAGGCAATCAAATAGGCGTGAATCGAACAACAAACAATCGAACAAAAATCTAGTTTGGTGAAGGAAAATTATCTTTAGAGAGATGGAACCAACATTGTGAATCGAACAGCAAGCAATCGATCAGGCGTGAATCAACCAACACTGTGAGTTTTGGACCGTCTAGGGGTTTTTCAAGCAATCGTCGCGTCTAAGGTTCTTCCAAGTTACGCGTGTTATTTAAGAGGAGTAGGCTGGTCATTTTTTGGGCTGAACCTGGACAAGAGTGGTAATCCATCTGAGCGAATAAGCCAAATTATGTCCGAATAAGTCATAAGTAAACATCATAATTTGGCTGTGCGAATAAGCTCTTTCGCCTATTAAGCCCATTAAATCATAAATAAACACCCCTTAACTCTGAAAGTCTATACAGGTACTCATGGAAAGATTCTAAATAACCTACGGAATGACTTCTCAATATATGAAGGAATTTGAACTTTACAAACTTTCAAGGTGATGTTAAATTGGACAAGAAATAGAAGAGCAATGTCTTTCGGTGAAATGTTTTCCGTTTCGGGGAATGGTTCGTCAAATAGACTGGTTTTTTAACTAATCAGATCAGATGGTTATTTTTGTGGTTATCCTTTATTTTTAATACTGAATAAATATGAACAACAATTTAACCAATTGGATTGGCTAGAATATAACAAGTAATGGAATAAAAGAATATATATCTATACTATATTATAAGTCATTTGACAAAAACTCTTAAAAACCATTTTTTATGAATGAAGTATTGTATATTGATGCGTATTACTTAAAATTCAAGATTACAAGTAAATTATGCATAAGTACAACTTATTAAAGCTTCATATTTTAATTCGTGTAACTAACCACTGATAAACATAATCAAAACATCTCATTTTAAAATATAAAAAATCTAAAATATAATTAGGATAATGATCGAGTTCTAATAAAATAATTAACTATTATATTTATAAGAAAATTATATTACTAAACCAAATATAAATTACTTCGTTATTGAACTTAATTAAATTATAATAGAAAAATTGAATTAAAAAATACACAAAAATAAGAAATTTTAAATAGTTAATTTAATACTAATATCGATATATTTTTGTCAAATTTTTATGATATCTTAAAATTTCAAAAATAAAAACATTGTCGTTTTTTTTTAAAATCACATAAGACCGCATTATAACATCGACTGAGATAAAGAATAAAACGAAATATTGAATCAAGATGTATCTTGTTGCATTGCACGAATACTCTTCTAGTGTGTGTGTGTGTGTGTATATATATATATAGAGAGAGAGAGAGAGAGAGAGAGAGATGAGCGATCAAATGCAAGCCACCCTCATCCTCGATTTCATTGTTTAATCTTATGAATTTTTTTCATGAAATTGTTTAATCTTTTGTTTCATATAATATTTTTTTGATGAATTTGTTTCATATATGGTTATGAAATTGTTTCATATAATACTTAATGAAACTGTTTCATGTATTTCTCTAAATTAAAATAACGAAGATGATAATATCCATAATTAACACCATTCACAATAAAAATGATTAATCAACATCTCATAATTACAAAAAAAAATGAACAAAATGAAAAATTATGATTGGTTGAATGAGGTTTGTACAAATAACGTGGTTTGCAAAGTAAACTTCCTCTTTATATATATATATATATATATATATATATATATATATATATATGAAAAGTACTCACGCAATGCAGCGAAACACATCTCGATTTTAATGTTCTATTTTATTATTTGTCTTTGTCGATATTATAATACGATTTTATGTGTTTTTAAGAAAGCAATAATGATGTTATTTTTGAATAAAATATAAATTTGAAGATATCATAAAAACTTGAAAAAAATATATCAATGTTAATATCAAATTAACTATTTAAAAATTCTCATTTTTTATATAATTGTTTTAATTTATTTTTTTATTATAATATAATTTTAAATTTAATAATATAATATTTTATAAAGATAATAATTAAGTATTCTGTTAGAACTCAATGATTGTCCTAATTATATTTTAGATTTTTTATATTTAAAATAAGATGTTTATCTTGTATTTGATTATGTTTATCTGCAATTAGTTGCACGAATTGAGATATGAAGCTTTAATAAGTTATACTTACGCACAATCTACTTGTAATCTTGAGTTTTAAGTAATATGCATTAATAAACAGTAGTTTACGTATAAAAAGTAGTTTTTAAAAGTTTCTGTCAAATGCTTTATAATATAGTATAGATTATTTTTTTTNAATTATAATTAAAAATTTTGAATTAAAAAATTACACAAAAAATGAAGAATTTTAAATAGTTAATTTGATATTAATATCGATATAATTTTGTCAATTTTTTATGATATATTCAAATTTATATTTTATTTAAAAATAAAAACATCATCAATTTTTCAAAATCACATAAAACCATATTATAACATCGATTGAGATAAAAAATAAAATATTAAAATCAAGATATATCTCGTTATATTGTGCGAGAACCCTTCTAGTTATGTTATAAAAATATTTATGTTTAATCTCTTAAAATTTTTAATTTCTTAAATTTTGTAACTTTTAAAAAAAATACAAGCTTAAAAAACTATATACACGTAAATAATGCATATAAATTTTTTCAATTATTTGTGAACATTAAATTATTTAAACAAATTATATAAAAAACAAGTATTTTAATCAATTTAATTTGATACTCATGTTAAATATATATTTCAAGTTTTAAACTCGGGTTTCAAAGTTTCAATCACGAGTTTATTCACATACGCATATATTCATACAATATTTTTACATATTATATAATATTTACAACTTATTAATACATATGTACAACTTAATAGATACATTTGAACTTTATAAAAATAATTTCATAACCAACCGATATACATGTTCAGATACAAGATTAAGTTGTGCCGTACTAATACGTCAAAATACGTCATAATTTTTTTTAATTAATATAAGACTTTTTTTTTTATCAACCTAGATATCCAACCCGCTATGCGTCCGACTAATCCTAGGACGACCACCTGCTTTGCAGATAGTCTGGAGTCACCGTATTTGAACATCCGTGGCCACAAAGGGATTTTTATTCCTTCTTGAATTTGAACCTGAGACCTTCTGGTACTTTTGACCTTTGGAACCAAACTCAAAACAATCAGACACCACTCTTGTAGTTATAAGACTCTCTTCATGTCTTAAAGCTACACAAATTCATAAAATAAAAATGAGAGATACGAGATACAAATGTATTACAATGCATTGCTTGGATACAATTCTAAATATATATAATTGTACTAATAAATAAGTAGATATATTACTTAATTTAATAAAAAAATATTTACAATCATAATAATCAATCTTTTCAATCAAATTTATTCTTTGATCATTTTTAAAATTGTCGTAAGTTTAAGTAAATATGTGTTATCAGATTTAAGAAAATCTTTACATAAATGAGAATTCTTATACAGAATGTTGCGTAAAAATTTCTTTTTCTTTTTAATTTAAAAATAGATTTTACGCAATTAATTGGACGTTTTTATACATTCTCCCTAAAATAAAGTTTTAGGGGTGTTTGAGATTGCTTATTTGAAACAACTTATGTTTTTCTATAAAAATATTTATCAAGTAATTATAAGTTAGAATAATTTAACATCTTCAAAAACTTTTTATTATTATTGATTTGACACCAATACAAATTATTTATCCAAATACTCAAAATACTTATTATTAATAGTAAATTTCGTAAGTTGTTGAAAAAGGGGAGGAAGCTTGGCGGTAAGTAGTTTCCTTCAGGTGTTTGACTTGACCGTTAGTAATTTACTTCTGGAAAAAGGAACTTTGCCAGTTGCCACCTTCAAACAGTGCCAACAAACACTTAACACTGCCACGTATTACCTAAAGGTGAGGCATGACGTCACAAATCACTCCAATTACTTGACCATCTCCTCTGGATAATGGAAATATCTTCTGCTTCTCAACTCAAAAGAAAAACTAAAAATCAAACCCGTGTGTGAAATGTATCCTAGCTGGCAGCCACGTCGACATTCTATCCACACGCATATATATATATATATATATATCACCATTGACCTTCTCCTCTTTCTTCAACGAGTTACAGACACAAAACCAGCGAACGAATACAAAGGTTTACCAAAAGTACTACCAACAACAGTCACTGATGCCGCCGCCGTTTCAGCCGTCGCCGCGATTCACCAAGGATGAAGAAACTTCAATCATGGTTGCAGCTCTCAAGAACGTCATCGTCGGATGTACAGACTCTACTACTTTTGACCAACGACAGAACCATGTTTTCCGGTCTTCTTCTCCGTTTGATTCTGCCGCCGCCGGCGGCAGCGGTAGTGAGCGGGTGATAACTTCAAGTCCGGTCACTTTTCCTCAGTCATGTTCCGTTTGTGGGATCAGCGGTTGTCTGGGATGTAATTACTTTATGATTACGGATGCTATGAAAATGAAGGACGTCCGTGGAGGAGGCGGTGGTCCGATTAAGAGAAAGAAGAAGAACTACAGAGGAGTGAGACAGCGACCGTGGGGAAAATGGGCATCGGAGATTCGGGACCCACGTAGAGCAGCTCGAGTGTGGTTAGGTACGTTTGAGACAGCCGAGTTAGCGGCTCGGGCTTACGACAGAGCTGCCATAGAATTCAGGGGAGCCAGAGCCAAGCTCAATTTCCCGTTGTCCGATTACACAACACCGCCGTCGTCAATGCCGGAAATTCAGGCGAGAAGAGAAGGGGAAACAAGTGGCGGAAAGAAAGCGATTGAGGAGAACGATGGTGAAGAATGGATGAGGATCATGACAGATTTCGGTGGTTTCACCGATGATGATCACACCGCTTGATAGTTTAATCACTTGGTGATAAATAATGCCACGTGTCACATAGCAAAAATCCATAGGAAGCCGTTATGGCTACACGACATAGATTTAAATTTTAATCCACATAATTATTTATTAATTCAATTAAATACTTTAGGCTATCTTTAACTACATATTTCATGTTATAAAAATATGAAAACATTTTTTTTTATAATAAATCACATGTAATATTATAGTCGGTTATATATATATATATATAGGGGCCTAATCAAATGAGAAATAATTAGTTTGTGATAACTGTGAGAACCAATATTAACCACAAATCAATAGATAAATTAAAAAATTTATAATTTTGGCAATCTTGAATTAAAATATTAATGCAAGGATATTTTTGGTATTTTAAAACTTTCCTCCCTCCTCTCCGTCCGCCGGCCACCGTCCTCCGGTGATACTACAATGGTATCACAATGCATCATATATGTGCTTGGGTATCACATTGATGTCGTTTGTATGGTCGATCGAAGATGTAACACAGTGATATCACTATGCATCTTATATATGATTAGATATCACAATGTATCTTTTGTTTAACAGAGTCAATATTTTTAGGTATCACAGTGGTATCATAGTGGTATCACTGGAGGACCGTGGCCGGAGGCCGGAGAACGGTGGCCGGAGAGAGAAGAGAGGAGAGAGGAGAGTTTTAAAATACCAAAAATATCCTTGCATTAAGATTTTAATTTAAAATTACCAAATTTATAATTTTCCTAATTTATCTATTGATTTGTGGTTAATATTGGTTCTCATATTTACCACAAACAACTCAGTTCTCCCTTGAATAGGCCCATATATATATATATAGACTTGGGATCATGTGAGACCAATGGTTTTTCGTGAGACCCGTAAGACCAATTCTCAACCCTTGGATTAGATTTACAATCGTCAGATCTGAACATTTATAAACACCATGAGACTTCTCACTAATTACGAAATTGCCACCTTGCAACTTTGCAACCATTAGATCATTAATTCATAAATTTAATCAATGAACATAAATTGGTCTTACGGGTCTCACGAAAAACCCTTGGTCTCACGTGAACCCAACCCTATATATATATATATATATATTATGATTTTTATTATATTCCTTAAAATTTAGCATTCACGATGGGTATTGATGTCGTTTTCATTAAGATCTCTATAAAAATCTTTATTGTGGGATCGGCTTAGTTATACGTTCTAAAAAAATATATGCATAATAAGAATTTGGGTTTCTGTTTAAATTTCTTTTTTATTGTTTTTTGATCATTTTATTTCGTTATTAAACATATAAATTATAACTGATTTGAGGTTTTTTATTTCGTGATAATGAAGTGGTAGGAAAAAAATATTATGGTAAATAAGATTCTTGAATGTTCCACCATATTTTTTTATAACTTATTAAAATAGAAAATTAAAAGTCAAAATCTTTAAAAGATTATATTTAACTTCAAAAAATTCTCTATTTTAAGGATTTCAATATCTGTTATATATTAATAAAATATTCTATAAATTTATCATCATATTACGCTTTTTAAATATATAATGTTGTAACGATAACGTTTTAAAGTGTTGAATCATCGTTGAAAATAATGAACTTTGGTCCGATTTATTTGACTACTTTAATGTGAGATGTTTTATATTGAAAATATGTAGTGAAATAGCATATAAGCATGTACGCAAGTCAAAATAAAAGTGGTCAAAATTAGCACTCTATTGTTGTGTAAATTGTCCCAAACACAACACGTCAAGTCAAGCCTTATCTAGAACTTCAATATCAAAAACAAGTCAATAACCATGTCTATTTTCGTAAATTCCCAATCATGCTTGTGCTTCATTCTAGTCATCGACAAGTACATCTGATTAAGGGGGTGTTTGGGATTGCTTGTAAAAATAATTTATTGACTTATTTCGGTGTGGCACCGGTAATAAGTGTTTGGATAAACAATTTATACTTGTGTCAAACCAGTAATAATGAGTTTTTGAAGAAGTTAAACCCTTCTGACTTGTAATAAGTTGATAAGTGTTTTTGTACAAAAACATAAGTTGTTTCAAAAAAACAATCTTAAACACCCCATAAAAGTATATGTAGAGAAAATTTGCTTACCAATTTGGCTCTTCTATAGTGGGCTCCCTCTCAATTGACCACTACAACTTATACTCTCAACTCAACCACAAGGGTGGTGTCTGATTGGTTTGAGTTTGGACTCTAAAGGTCTTAAGTGTCTGAAGATCTCAGGTTCGAATCCGATGAGAAATAAAACCCCCTTGTGACCACAGAGGTTCAAATGTAATGACTCCAGACTCCCGCGAAGTGGATAGTCGTCGTGAGATTAGTTGGCTTGCATAATAAGTTAGATATCGAGGTTAATAAAAAAGAAGAAGTTAAAACTCTAGTCCATTAGAGGAGATGGATGCATTAATTAATAGGTAACATTACTTGAATTTCCTTCTTTAGTTACAAATCAATTAATTTAAAATAGCGTTTGATTTTAGTTTTATGATATAATTTATTGGTGATTGTGAACTGGTTTCGTTCTTCTTCATATATATCTTCTTTGATTTCAGTAAGACCATTTTCCAACTGTTTTTGTGTTGGATTTGCTTGTTGCTAACGTAGTAGTCCTTCAAAAGCATGATTTATGTCGATATTATTTAAACCTAATGTATCGAAATTCCACCAATTAAACTTTCAACGTTTTACGCCCTAAACACTTGCATTAATCATTGCATGTTCTAATCCTGTTTGGAACATTTTTTTAATGAATTAGTCACTTTAATCTTTTGGAAAAGGCTATATGAAGTTCTATATACTTCTGGGTAAAACGTTGATCCGGTAACCTTAACCAGCTCCATACGAAACCCGCCTCCAAAGACACCAAGATGAGGGATATTTTTTGGCTCACTCAGCGGCTGAGGTTTTGGGGGGATTAAGCCCGGGACCCGTCTCGTATTTGGACAAAGTCGTTTCACCCACCCCTTTGTCGATTGATCTGCATGTCAAAAGCTATGTATTATATGTAATAGTAGTTTAAAAAATAAAATAAAAATCATAGATGGATACTCAGGTTAAAAGTGTTGAATTATCGTTGAAAATATTGAACTTTTGTCCCTTCCATTTCTATACATATACAAAATGATTGCTTTACGGTTGTGATTGACAGTAACTTTGTAATTTTAAAAAGGTTGATGGGGCCAAAAAAGAACCAACGTTGTTAGCATTTTTGGTGTGATGATATTTCAAAATACGAAAATTCCAAGAACGGGAAGAGTTATAAATAACGAAAATAGGAAGATTCCAAGTACAAGAAAAAAGATTAAGGCTATGTTTTGCGGCTGATAAACCAGCTGATGAACAATTCATGTTTAGCAAAACTGATTGATAAGAATGTAAAATGACTAAAAATGGTATCTTGAAAAATTAATCAAATATAATATTTTAAAATATAATTGAAGTAAATCTCTAATAATATAGTATATTAATTAACACAAACAAGATGGTAAAAGATATTAAAAAATATAATATATTGATTCA